ACCGGCCCAGACGCCGGCAGCGCCCGGACTCGCCGCCGTCGCGGGACCCGGGCACCCGCAGCGCCCCGGCTCCTCCGCTCGCGACCGCCCTCCGCAGCGATGGACGGAGACGGTGACCCAGGTAGCCACCGCCGCCCGGACCCTCTGGCTCCAGCCTGGGAGGGGAGACCAAGGCAGGCGGGCGAGGGCCCCAAGAGGGTCATCAGAGCCAGGGGACCCTGAGACACCGCGGCCAGCTTTCACGCAAGCAGGGCCCTTGAGGCAATCTCGAAAGAGCGCCTTCTTTCTCTCTCGGTGTGGCCGGAGGCCTCTCGGCGACAGGCGGGGAAGGAGGACTCCTGGGTCCCACCTACCCAGGGAATAGCGCTGGAGGACTCCCACCTTCCCGCCTCCCGGCTTCCCGAGGGTCTGCCGGCCCGGGGCTGGGACGGGCTGGGGTGGAGGCTGCAAGCCTTCTTCTTAAAGCAGCTTCTTCTATTTGCCAGCTCGGGCCCTTGAGCTGCCTGAACCCCGTGGGTATCTTGGGGTTACTGGCTTCTGCCCAACTGTCCCAGCCTTTCTCCTGGGTTCTTTCATCTGGAGGGGCTGCTCTTCACCTGGGTGGCAGGATGCCCAGTGGCGACTAGGCCAGTAGTGAGGGAGAGTTGGGGGCAGCTCTTGCTGGTGCTCAGGGTCCTCTGAGACTGCCCTGTCATCTTCTCTGGCACCAGGGACCACCCTCCCCCCAATCCCTCCACCTCCTGGGCCTGTAGGGTTGCCTGCTGAGTCAGGGTGAGAAAGTCCTGCCTGCAGGCTGCCCTCACACCTTCCTCGCCAGGCGCCAGGCGCAGCTGAGGGTGGTCATTGCTTGGGGAGGCGGTGGGAAACAGATACGCTCAGGTAGCCAAGCGCCCCTCTCCCGGCCTGACAACCCCAGTTCCTGCAGCACATGCTCCCTATCCGAGGCCCCCTTGCCGCACCCCTTAGAGGGCCCCAGAATCTGCTCCTGCTTTTTCCCAGGACCCAGGTATTCCCTGGACTCTGGGGCCCAGTCCAGGTGAGTGAATTAGCCTCGGAGGTAGCTTCCAGGGGCCAGATAACTTTCCGACAGCAACAATGTGGGGAGTTGTGTGCAAGAGAGGGGGTGGGGGGCTGTAATCAGATCTGGGGCCTCAAGTGCCAGGCCTAGGGGCCAGGAGAGGGGACTGGGTGAGGTGCACCTTTCGGGGAGCATCAGGTGTCCGTTGGGGCCGGAGCCAGGGCAGGGCGGGAGGAGGGGTGGAGAGGTAAGGACATGGGCCCAGCTCCCCTGAGAGCTGTGGGGAGCAGGATGGGCCTGGCTTTTTCCTCTGCCTTCCTGCTGTTCTGCGGTGTGACGTGGGAGAAGCCACTAAGCCTCTCTGGGCCTGTTCCTCTTTGACAATAGGGAAGAGGTGAATCCCCACATCACAAAGATGTGGCAAAAAAAAAAAAAATCCTAATAATGAAGAGAAATTGTTGTGTTCAATAAGATTCACTTGGTAAGATTCACTGAGGCCTCACTGCGTGCTCTGGGCTCTGAGAAATTGGGAAACCCTGATCCACCTCTCAGGGGTCTGACTGTGTGTGGGGGTGGGGTGGGGCAGGTGCCGCCTGTGAGGAGGTTAAGGGCTGGCAGGCCTGGGTCCTGACAACCCCCAGGCTTGGGACTAGGCCCTGCCACCTGTCCCATCTCCCCATGCCTGGCCTGTTTCCACCACCATCCTGGCTTTTCAGGGCCCAGTCCTCAGGAACTCCCCATCCTAGGTCTGAGAGCACCGGCTTCCCGCATCACCCAGGGTGGCCCTGGCTGCTCCTCACTGGTTCTCCCTCCTCCAGAGACACTGGCTACTTGGTATTTGCTTACTCAAGGCTTCAATGGACCAGCTGAAGCCAGCTGGGTTCCAAGAGACAGTCCAGCCCGAGATGCTGACATCTGCCCACCTCCTTACAATTAGAATACCCTTGCCCCTTCAGGGGATTTGAACATCATTATTGTCTGTTGACTCGGCATTACGATTACCCCCATTTCATAGATGAGGAAACTGAGCCAGGGATGGGAAAAGAAGGGGTGAAAGGGCCGGCCCATGGCTCACGTGGGAGAGTGTGGTGCTGATAACACCAAGGCCACGGGTTCGGATCCCATATAGGGATGGCCAGTTAGCTCACTGGGTGAGCGTGGTGCTGACAACACCAAGTCAAGGGTTAAGATCCCTTTACTGGTCATCTTTTAAGGACGTGGGAGAAAAGAAGGGGAGAAGAAACCGTTCTTTCCCAAGTACCCATTGTATCTCGTTTGATATACCAGGTGTCTTTTAATGAGCCCCTCGCCATCCCAAAATCACACAACGGTGGCTGCTGGCTGGGGATAGCTGGGTCTCCAGTCTGTTTTCTCTTCCTCTGGCTTAGGTCCCCTGACCCCTTCCCTAAATACCAGCAGTATTGTGACCTTTGGCAAGTCACTTCATCTCTGAGCCTGAGCATTTTCATCTGCAAAATCAAAATCATGACAATGCCTAATAATTCAAAGAATTATTTTGTCACGGCTGTGGTGGTTAAAGGTGGCTCTGGAGCCAGACTGTCTGGGTTTAAATCCAGACTCCCACCGCTTATAAGCAGTGTGATCCTGGGCCATCTGACCTCTCTCTGCCTCAGTTTCCTCAGTAGTGAAATAGGAAGAGCAATAGGAGCCACCTTGAAGAGATGGTGTGAGGATTTTGAGAGTAAAGGAGATTGAAATGATTAGAATAATGCCTAACACTTGCTAAGTGCCCAATAAGCCCCGCCTCCTGAGAGCCACCACGCAGGTGGTGCCAGACGCCAGGGCTGGAGACGGAGCAGTGCGTTTCTCAGACCTGGTTCCGGCCCTCATGAGGCGCAGTCGAGTCGGGAGAAAGGCCCTTATCACATCCCAGCACACAAGCTAGGCCGCCTGAGAACTTGGGCTGTGAGAGGATGGAACAGGGGGAAATTCTGGAAGGCTTCTTGAGGAGGTGAGGGGATCAAGGATCTCAGAGGGTGGCTGGGAGGATTAAGGGAATTGGATGTAGGAAGCGTTGGGACTGCTGTAGATGGATGCCATTAACAATAATAATGTCATCGTTTCTGTTACTGGCGGTGCAGGGGAAACAGGCCCCTGGGACAACTCTTCGGACTTAGCGGCTGATCCGTGTCCCCTGCCCCATTGGGCTTCCCTCCTGGGCCCCAGTTTCAAGGCACAGAATCTTCGGCTCAGCTGTGGATTGTCGGAGGGTGGGTGGGGGGCGGATACCGGGCACGCTGTGGCTCTGGGCGTGGAGGGGGACAGTCTGGGGGAGTCACAGCCTCCCTCCCCCACCCCCACGCCCACCCCCACCCCGCCAGCAGAGAGCGTGGGCCAGCCGG